CTCGGCAGGGAGATGCCGCGATTTGCCACTTCGCTGTCACGGAGCGCGCCCGTGCGAACGGAGCATGCGCAGTGATACCGCCTGACGCCGCCTCCTGTGCCTTAGACTCCAGAGGCGGAAGGGCGGAAGGCGAGCGGGGAGAGCGGAAGCGCTGGCTGCGCAGAGGCGAAGAGCCGAAGGGCGGGGCTAAGCCGGGCGCAGGCGCAGATAGGGGCCGGTGCTGCGTGTGTCTGTGGGAAGCCCCCTGGACCTGCCTTCGCCAGCTGGTCGCGCTCCCTTGTTCTTGTCGCGCGCTGCCAAGTGCCCTGCGGTGCTCACCTGCGCGTGGCACCTGCTAACGGGGCATTTTCCTTAGTGCTGCCCTGCGCGGCGCTGGGTGACTTCCTCCGACGTGTGGGGTGGTTGTAGCCGTGTCGGGCACAGACTATTGGCGAGACCGGGTGGCTGAGGCACTAACTACCTGTAATTGGATCGGTGCTTGCTGGTGAAAGAGGCCAGCTTGAAGAAGAACTCTGTGTAAGCCAGAGGGGGACAAACTATGGCCCGTGGGCCACATCTGCTCCGTCTGTCCAGCCCTCGAGTCCTAGGGTCGGGACAAGCTTGCCAGGAGGAGCCAGACCAACTCCCAGGAAGTGTGCCAGGCAAGGGTGGCCTGGCCTCCCCTTTTGTCCCCACTCTTGCCAGCCTCTGCTCCCCCAGCAGCCACCAGCCTTCATGCTCTGGGTCATATGGTTAGGGGACACGGAATTGCATAGGAAGTGGGGGCTGGTTGGGGTGGGGGCAAGGAAGGCTGGATTAGGGGGCTGGGATCCTGTGGGTATTAGGGACTGGGGAAGTTGGATAGGAGGCAGGGACCATGATGGGCTGTTTGGGGAGGCACACAGCCTCCACCAGGCTTCCCTACTTGGCCCTTCATACAATTTTGTGCTAGATGTGGTCCTAAAAGTTTGCCCACTCTTGGTGTAACCTCAAAGGCTTGCCTCTCTCACCAATAGAAGTTGGTACAATTAAAAAATACTGCCTCATTCATGCACTTTGTTGCTAGATGTTGTGGGAACCCAGTGCAGTGCATCTTGGGACCATGCAAAATGTCCTGTCAGCCATTGATTTGTGTCCTGTGTCTGCAGTGGTTTCTGGCTTCCTTTCATGCCATTTTTCCTACTGCTATTCTCTGAAGTAATCTCCAATATATGTGTAACCCCGTTTTTCCTCCCTGGGTTACTTGGGAGCAGGTCACACTCACACGTGTGCCTGGGAGCCCGATGGTTTTGACATAAAAGGAGATCCTGAGTACCTCAGTGGTGGTGATGTTTGGTTGGGGAAAACCTATCCACTCCCTTGCTGTAGTCCCTTGCTCCTAAAGAATGTACAATGGTGGTGCCTCCACCTGGCTCTGGCTAGCCCTGTGCATACTTACTGATGTGCCTTGAGAACCTCCAGGAATGACTTATTCCAGCAATAAACTGGATCTAACTCCAGAACAACAATTACAAATCATAAATAATATACATCTAACAGATGGCATTAGAATGAAAAACCTTTACTTAACTTTAAAAAACAGGATTTAACAAATTAACAGTGAATAACATCAATTAACAAAGTACACGGAGGTAAAAGGAACTTATCTAGCTGCCATTTGCACTGCCAATATTTATCCCACCCCCAGAGTGTGCACACTCCTGGACTTAGCCAGACTCTTGCTTGCATGGCACGCTTCAATAACTGCAGCTCCAATGGAGATTCTCTGTAGATAGTGTGTATGTAGGTCCCAGCTATGCAGCAGCTCTGGTTCACTGGACTGGCTTCTCTGCCTCTCTTTGAACCTAGAGTTAGTCTGTAGCTCTGAGGTCTGTCCCAGACAGCATTTTCCCAAAGATGCCTAGTTACTCACAGTCTCCTTCTGTGTGCTGGATGCAGAGTAGCTTCTACTCGCAAGTACAGCCAAAGGGCCTCCCCACTCGGGCAATCAGAAGCAGCCTGCTAGATTACAGTCTCAAAGGCTCGCTGTCCCAGTCTGTAACTGCAACATAACTACTTCAAAGTAGGAATAAGAGATCCTCCGGAAAAGGGCTTTTTTCCGGAGGATCGGGGCCAGTGTAGACGCTCTTTTCCGGCTTTTCTAAAAGCCGGAAAAAAGCGGCGGACATTTTTATTTAAATGCCGCGGGGGATATTTAAATCCCCTGCGGATTTCCCTATTGCGACCTGTAAAATTAGCATGCCCCTTTCGGAAAAGGGGCCAGTGTAGACGTAGCCTTGGAGGAAGCGGGTTCTGATTAGTAGGAAGCACGCCAACTTTGCAGGAGACTGGGTTTTTTTTTGGGGGGGGGGGGGCTTTTTTTTGGAAGTAAAGGTAACTAGTAAGTGTAGACCTACTTTCACAAATTATGTTTTGTATTGTAACCACTTCTTTCCATTATTTTGTCTTATTTTTAGTTAAATCTTTGTATATTTACTTAAAACAAAAAATCAGGTTTATTAATAGTAAGTGCTGTGTGGTTTTATGGGAGTGGTGGCTTAAAGTAAAACTACACATTTGAGTGCAGAGCATCTGGAATTTCTGTAAGTAACCAGGTTAGGCGCTGGATATCATGGTGGAATGATTTATGGGGGTTTGAGGGTGCACCTATGGCTAGCCTGCAAGGCAAGTGTAATGGGTTCACTCACAAAGGTCCCCTTGTGACTGTCACCTGCTGTGCTGATCATGCCACTGAGACCACCTGCCTGCTCTCTGGGGTGTCCTGCTGGGCCAGAAGCTCTGGTCTCCCCCAGTGAAGACACAGAGTTGGCGGTAACAGCTCCTGAGCAGAGCAACACAGATGCTGTACCAGCTGAGCTATAGGGCCTTGACAGCAGCCACGAACACAACCATCAAAAGAGACATCTTACTCTGTATAAAAGTAAACCTCTTGTTTGGTTTCCCACCTTTATAACCCCTTTGCCCAAAGTGGGAATTCTTTGTGTTCTGTTCAGACTTTTCTCACCTTGAATGGAAAAGCACAAGATCCTAAATGGGTTCCAGCATCAGATTGTCGGGTTACATGCCTGGCATGACCAACCACTATTTGGGCTTGCAGGAAAAACAAAGCCATTCACACAGATTGTTGGTTTGAACACTGAACCATTATGTTTCTGGAGTATCACTAATGGCCCGCATTAGCACATTTAGAATGTACAAACAGTTTCATATTTAATATTCCTAATTTCACATACAAGAGTAATACATGCACAAAAATAGACCATACATACTCAACAGATCATAACATTTAAAATGTTACATGATGCATTTTGCCCAAAGCGTCTTCAAGTTATGCATAGTCATATACCAATTTTTATAAAGAGTGGGGGACTGTGACTGAGTTAGGGCAAAGTGCTTGAGTGGCTGAAAGTATGGTGGTGTCAGGAGACTGATATGATAGCCTGTCCCCTGTACCACAAAAAAGACTCACTCTCATTGGAGACCTGGGGTAACAGGGTTATTCTCAGTCCTGGGTTCATCAAAAAGTGTCATATATATTCAGTGTAATGTTGAATGAGGAAAAGTGAGAGAGGGAGTGAAGAAGAGAAGATCAAAAGGAGGTGAGAAGAGAATGATTTTATGGGGTAAGAGATAGTGGAAGGGAGGAGAGAGCAAAAGGAAGTCAACAGTTAGATAAGCCCTTGCAGGAACCATCAAAGCTGGGATTTTTCAGAGCAGGCGGAGGGAATTAGACACCCAATTCCCATTTAATTTCAAGAGAAGTTGAGTGGCTGAATCCCTTAGGTTCTGCTGAAAATACAAGTCTAAAGGGGATCCTTCTTTTGCTACATGGTTGTAGATTCATTTAGTGTTATAAATAATTATCTTGCTGTTAGTATGTTTTAAGTATGATTTATTTACAAAGTCCATACTCAGAACATCATAGCTTCAGTAGTGAAGTTTCTTAAGGGTTGAAAATGATAAACAATGGGAAACAAAGATTAATCCCTTTTTTTTTAAAGCAGAGGGTAAGAGGTTGTCTGGCAGTGACCTTGGTGACGGATTGAATAAGGTTGATTTGCTAGGGGAATAGATAGTCAGTGCATAGGTAAGAAGGCTGTAGGTACAGAACCTTATATTCTGGGTTCTGTGGTTTTGAGTTTTCCATTATTATTTCTTGCTCTTGGCAACCTTAACTGCTCTTCATACAGTGTTTTGATGAGTGAATGTTTATGAACCTTTGCACAGTTTTCCTCGAAAGACAGCCAACCCCCAACATACTCAGCGTTACTGTCAGCGCAGACGGGTAATCCTGCGCTTTGGGATCCCATTCAGCGCGGGCAGATGGGCGAGCACGAAGACCGGCCGGCATGTGGCTATCCCACTTCGTGGCTCTGCAGCCTTCCCGCGGTTGGGAGCAGAGCTAAAAAGCTGAGCGAGGAGAGCACCCCTGCCCCACGCAAAACGGGTGGCTTCCTCCCTTTCCCGCAGGGGAGGGGATGGG